GCCTAGACAGAGGGCTCAGTGGTTAAGAGCACTGGCTGTTCTTCCAGAGGACCTGGGTTCAATTCCCAGCACCTGCATGGTGGTTTATAACCATCTGTAACTCTAGTTCCAGGCAATCTGACACCCTCTGCAGGAGCACATGTTGCACAGCCACAGACTTAGGTAAATCACTCAAACAAGGATAATAATAAAGAGTTGTCCTTAAAGAAAAGCAACACCAACAAACCACACCAAAGAACTAAATCTGTCACTGACTCACCCAGGTATCTTCTGAGCACCACTGAAATGACTAAGGGAATGCCAACCTGTCCTATCTATATTTTGTTTGTGTCTCTCTGGTCATTTCTCAGCCCTCTATCCTCAACATGTCTGCCTTGGTAACACATTTGAGATTTCCATGGCCTCAACCATGGTCCAGTTTATTAACCAAAATGATTAAACTAAAATAACTAAAAAAGATATAAGTAAAAATTGTCAGCTGGGCATGGTGGTGCACGCCTTTATTCCCAGCAATCGGGAGACAGAAGCAGGGGATATCTAAGTGAGTTTGAAGCCAGCCTGATCTACAAAGCAAGTAGACAGCCAGGGCTACACAGAGAAACAGTCTCAAAAACAAAAAAATTAATTGTCATGTTATGTCTGAAATAATTACTATGCTCTGCCAGGAGCATAAATGTTTCAATGTTACTATGACCCTCATCTAAATTTGATGTAAATTATGGTCTTTGTGGTTTTGCTTTTTAAAACTTTGTATCCCTAGGCTTGGATAACACTTAGACTTCAGAAAGACATGCCTGCTCTTGGTCTACCATCACTAAACATTTAAAACTTTTTTTTCCCCAGCATGCCTTTAATCCCAGCACTACAGAGAGAGTTCCAGGACAGCCTCCAAAGCCATAGAGAAACCCTGTCTCAAAAAACCAAAACAAACACACAAACAAAAAAAACTTATTTTTCCTTTTCTTTTTTGAGACAGGGTTTCTCTTTGCAGCCCTGGCTGTCCGGAACTCGAGCCTCAAACTCAGAGATCCTTCTGTTTTTGCCTCCTGAGTGCTGGGATTAAAGACATTCACCACCACCTGGCCCAAAAACTTAAAACTTTTAATTAACTTATCATGGTTGTCAATAACTATCTCAAGTGGGTCATTTTACCATTGATACATGCCCCACCCACCCCTTTTTTTCTGGTCCTAGGATTGGACTACAGGAGCTTATTAAGCATGTTGGGCAAATGCTCTAATGTAACATGAATTCTACTTGTTCTTAATAATAAAAACCCAGAGACTGATATTTCAGGGTTAATGCTGAAGATCAGAGAAGCAAACAGCAGCCACTGAAGAGTTCTCACCTCTACCGAAGCTCAGACTGAAGGGGTGATCCTGTCCTCAAATTGTATCTTCAGACTGCATCTGTCTCCACCCAACCTCAGACTGCTCCCAATTGTGTTGCTCCTCAGGCTGCAATGAGCTCCTGTCCCCTCCTGCCTTATATTCCTCTCTAGTGATGTGATTAAAGGAATGGGATCCCTAGTGCTAAGATCACCTTTGTGTGAGCTCTGTTTTTCCTTTAGACTGGATCAATTTCTTGTAGCTCAGGGTGGCCTGGAATTAACAGAGATCTAGAGATCTGTCTGTCTCCCAAGTGCTGGGATTAAAGGTGCATACTACCAAGGCCTGGCCTCTATGGCTAACTAGTGTGGCTAGCTTTATACTCTGATGTTCAGGCAGGCTTTATTTGTTAGATCATAAACAAAATATCACCATACTCAACCACTGAACTCCACAAGCACACAACTATACACATTGTATTTTTTTTTTTTTTGAGACAGGTTTTCTCTGTGTAGCTTTGTAGACCAGCCTGGCCTCAAACTCACAGAGATGTGCCTGCCTCTGCCTCCCAAGTGCTGAGATTAAAGGCATGCACCACCACTGCCTGGCTCTACACACATTGTCTTTGAAAATATTTTGCTTCTGTGGATGGGTGTTACCTGTTTGTATATACGTGCAGGCAAGTACCTGATGCCTGTGGAGATAGGATCCTCTAGAACTGGAATTACAGATAGTTTTGAGATGTCATCTGGGCACTGAGAATGGACTTACTTAGGTCCTTTGAAAGAGCAGCCATGTAACCCAATCACAAAAAGACAAATATGGTATGTACTCACTCATATGTGGATTTTAGACAGGGAGTAAAGGATTCCCAGCCTACAATCCACACTGCCACAGAAGCTGGGAAACAAGGAGGACCCTAAGGAAGACATACATGGTCCGCTGGAGAAGGGGAAAGGGGTGATTCAATCTTGTTTCTAATTCAAATAAAAAAATCTGAAAAAAAAAACCAGAAGCAAAACTTTACTTGGATAATGTAAACAGTAAAAATATATTTGTATGAAAAAAAAAAGAGCAGTCATGCCTCTGTGCTTAATGGCTGAGCCATTTTTCCAGCCCCCCCCCCTTTTTAAATTCCCACTTCTCAAGCCAACCTGGACTTCTTCTGAAAATAAAATTGCCTATTATTTGACTTTCTACACATCTCTGCTCCTTCTTACATTTCTCTTCCTTCTCAAAGGACCAAGTACATACTAATCAACACTGGGACCTCTCAAACTACTGATTGATGTGAGTTTCTATCTGGATGCCTGTAGGAATGTCTTGTAAACTTTATGGTCTTAATATGAAAAAAATAAAAGTGATTAAAAAGATGTAGCTTTTCTCACAAAACCTCTAGTTCTTTTTTTAAATTTTTTCATTTTATTTTATGTGCATTGGTGTTTTGCCTTCGTGTATGTCTGTATGAGTGTCAAGTCTCCTGGAACTGGAGTTACAGACAGTTGTGAGCTGCCATGTGGGTGCTGGGAATTGAACCCCGCCGGTCCTCTGGAAGAGCAGTTGGTGCTCTTAACCACTGAGCCATCTCTGCAGCCCTCAAAACCTCTAGTTCTTATGCTTTATAATTCTAAAAGCAATACTAGCATTGCTGACCAGATGGTAGTGGCACACACCTTTCATCCCAGCACTCATGTGGCAGAGGCAGGCAATCTCTTTGAGTTTGAGGCCAGCCTGGTCTACAAAGTGAGTTTTAGGACAGCACAGGCTACACAAAGAAACCCTATATCAAACAAACAAACAAACAAAAACTGGCTTGCAATGGGCTAGAGAGATGGCTCAGGAGATAAGAGCACTTGCTGTACTTGTGAAGCTTGCTGCTCTTGAAGCTATAGCAGAGGACCCTGGTTGGGTTCCCAGCACCTACATGGCCCCTAAAAACTGTCTATAACCCCAGTACCAGGTGATCCAATGTCCCATTCTGGCCTCCAGAGGCACCAGGCACGCATATGGTGCACTTATAGATATTCAGGCAAATATCCATCAAATATAGTACATACTTTTTTTCGATAATTAGGGACTTGTTCTGCAACATGAGGGCCTCAATATGACTCCACAGCATTCATGTCAAAAGCCAGTCATGGCTTCCAGTGCTTGTAACCCTAGCATAGGGGAGCAGAGACAAATAAATCTTGTGTGTGTACATTCACGTGCACGTATCACACACATATACACATGGGGTCTTACACATGTGCAAACTCCCCAGCAAAACTTGATCTATAAAATAAATAATTCAAGATGTCTGTGGCCGTTGGAGTCAGAAGTAAGAAAAAATCTACATAGATTAGTTGTCACAGAGCTATCTCGACATCCTCTATGCAGAGGTTGGGGGATGAGACAGGGTCTCTGCAGGTGGCCAAAGGCAGTTTCAAACTCTTAATCTTTCCACCTCAACCTCCCAGTGCTGGGATTATAGGGACATGCCACCATACTCAGCCAGTTTCTCAGTTTAGGTCTGGGTGAAGAAAATGCACTGACACTAGGCATGACATATTTTACATAGTTGTCATACTTATTTAATAAAATATCAAATGTCTTCCTTACAAATGACCTATAAGAATTGTACTTGCTCAGAGATTTAATAACCCACCAGACATTATGTAACTGATGAGCCTACAGGAGACCTTAGTTAGGATGTGTGCTGTGTTCCAAAGTCTATGCCAACTTTACAATCCCGAAGGGGCAAAGTGGAGGAGCAAAGGAGGAGAGGCCCGTATGGGGACAGCTGGGGTCAGGTCCTCTCCCTAGCAAGTGATGCAGACAACCTACGCCTTCTGGGATACAGAGTCAATTTGGAAAACCGAGCAGCTTTCTGACGTCTACTGTGACAGAAGGAGAGGTCCGGGTAGTGGCCACCTGAGCTTCCTAGAGCCTTATCACTGCATCACCAACGCGGGTGCTCTGACGTGCTGCAGGCTGACGTTGGTGTTGGGAGTGACAGATGGCCCGGCAGCTAGCGGCAGAGCAGGAGGCTCTTATTGCTGACCAAACCTCTGTGGACAAGCACAACCCCCAAGGTCGGCCCCGTGGGCCATCAACAATCTGCGGGTACCAGGAACGGCTGGTCCAGACCGGGACTTGGGTCCCCAGGGCGGAGGGCGGGAACTAAACAGGCCGGACTACAATTCCCACAATGCTCCCGGGCCACGGCAGCAGGGAAGGAGAGGAACCTCAGGTGTCTGCGACCCTGGTGGCTCCGGCCCGGAAGTGCCCGAGGGGCCGCGATGGAGCTAGTGGAGCTGGGCGGTGAGTCGCCGCACGTGGCCGCGCCCACCCGGTCGCCCCAGGCCACAGCTGGGCCTTGCATGCCCCGCCCCAGATCTCTGGTGCCCTCCTGCAGCTCGGGGGGCGGGCAGATGGGAGGAGTGATGGAGTGGTGGGGGTGGGGAGAGCTAAGTCTAGGTTCTCCCGGAAGGATCAAGGGTCTGGAGGCCTCTGGGTTTGGGGAGGCTGCCCCAGGAGGCGCTGAGTCGGGCTGCTGCTGGGTGGGGTTTGGGTGGACCCAAGAAGGGGCCGAGCTGGGTAGGCAACTGAGCTCCCTAGGCTCCAGATTGGCCCAGGGCGGAGTTTGACGTTTGACGTTGTCTGGGAAGCTTTGGGAAGCTGTCTGAGTTAGGGGTGGGGTTTGGGTAGATGGTAAAGGGGAGGGAGGGTAAGGGGATATAGAGACCCTTCTGTCGAGTAGAGACACTTAAGTGACAGGACATCAGATGAGCTTTGCTGGTAATAGGTGAAGGAGTGAACTTTGAGATGAATGGACAAAAGTATAGGTAAGCTTTTGGGGAAAGTTTGATGGAGGCTAAATTTAGGAGAGGGTTGTTTAGAAGAGCAAGACCCTTACTTGGGTATAGATAGGGTTTGTGTCAATTGGGGAACTAAATGAAGACCTAGAACTCAGACAGCAAAGTTAGGACTTGGAATCGGGTGATGGAAAGAGACATAACAAGAAGGCAAAATTGGGACTACAGGGTGCTGGACCAGTCTGCATCCTGGGGTAGGTAAGAAGACAGAGTAGCTGGTACAGTGGGACGGTTGTAGTGCAGTGGATGCAAGAGCTTGTTAAACTTGGGTGAGCCCTGGTCAGAAAGCAGCCTCTTACCCATTCTTTGTGCCTCTCTAGCTTGGTAGCACCTCTGGTAACTCAGGTGCCATGGCCTTGATTGAAGGGGTAGGTGATGAGGTGACTGTCCTTTTTTCGGTGCTTGCCTGCCTTCTGGTGCTGGCCGTTGCCTGGGTCTCAACACATACCACCGAGAATACAGACCCCCTGCCACAGACGTCAGGGACCACAGCACCAGCACAGCCCAGTGAAGCCATGGCAGCCACAGACAGCATCAGAGAGGAGGCCCCAGGGGCTGAGAGCCCCAGCCTGAGACACAGAGGTCCATCTGCACAGCCAGAGCCGGACACAGGGGTCACAGCAACTACTCCACCTGCAGACTCCCTACAGGAACCCCTAGTGCTACGGTTGAAATTTCTCAATGACTCTGAGCAGGTGGCTAGGGCCTGGCCTCAGGATACCATTGGCTCCCTGAAAAGGTAAGCTGGGAAGAGGGTAAAGCACAAAATGCTAAAAATGGGGTGGGGGGACTATAAAAGGGCCACTAGAGATATCTGAAGCTCTCCTTGTTTTCTGTTTGAGAAAACTGTGTCCTCTACACACTTACAGCCTATCCCTGTTAACCTTTTCCAACCTGTGTGGGTGGTTTGTAGAGGGCAGGGGTGAAACCTGACATCTCTCCTCTGAGCGAAGGAGCAGGACTTCCTGAGGCCTACTCTCTTACCCAGGTCCCTCTCTCCTCAGGACCCAGTTTCCCGGCCGGGAACAGCAGGTTCGACTCATCTACCAAGGTCAACTTCTAGGAGACGACACCCAGACACTGGGCAGCCTCCACCTACCCCCCAACTGCGTTCTCCACTGCCACGTGTCCACGAGAGCCGGTCCCCCACATCCCCCCTGCCCACCGGGGTCGGAGCCCGGCCCCTCCGGGCTGGAAATCGGCAGCCTTCTGCTGCCCCTGCTGCTTCTGCTGCTGCTCCTGCTCTGGTACTGCCAGATCCAGTACCGACCCTTCTTTCCCCTGACAGCCACCCTGGGCCTGGCCGGCTTCACCCTGCTCCTCAGCCTCCTGGCCTTTGCCATGTATCGCCCGTAGTGCCTCCGCGGGCTGCTGGCAGTGCAGCCAGCCCCTCTGGACCTCAGTCCCCAAGGCGCAAAGGGGGCTGCTGTCTGCCCAGGCCCTCCTCACCCGCGGCCTGCCTTTTCCCGCTGCCCTGGAGCCCAGCCTTGCGTCGCAGAGGACTCCAGGGGTCAGCGGAGGCTTCTCCCTGTCATCTTCACAGCTCTGGGCTGTCTCCTGGGGCTGCTGGCACGCAGCCTTCGCAGACAGCGGGGTCTTCTGGATCAGGCCCTTGCTGTCGCTGCCTTGGCCCTGCGCAGAGCCGGGCCAACCCCCTGGGCCCGTCCTAGCGTGCTGCTGCCGGGGGGGGGGGAACCCAGGAGCGTCCCGGTGCCAAGGGCTGCCTGGCCGCGTCGGGGCCGGTGGCCTGGGAGACACACCGGGGAAGAGAGCCGAAAGGGGCGGGCTTGTTTTCTGCAATTTGCGCCGATTAAAGGAACTGTGAAGTTTTCACTCCCAGTGTGACTGTGTGGGACCTGGGGGTGGGTGGGGAGCCCTTGTTCTGGGGGG